ATGCATGTAAAAACACAGCAGTCTGGATGACGCACGATGAATACATCATGCTCGAGTACAGCCCCCGTGTCTTCGGCCGTGTGTTTAGACGATCGGGCGGACGTAGGTGCTGGACCACCGGCCAGATCAGCTCCCGATCTTCGAGTAGGGGTCGAGAGGACGCGTCAGCTTGCACCCTTCGGTACAGAGTTAATCGTATCCGGTGTCCTTTAGGATTTAGGGGTTGTTGATGGTCGCGAGGGGCAGGAGGGCACGGGAGCTTAACAGGGTGGTAATTTAATCGTATTTTCTCAATATTGATACTACCCCTAATACCTACCCCCCCTCGCTAGGGTAACTAGACGGCCAATGAAAACGCACCCCCTTGCCAATGTTAAACGCTCGTTTAGGAGGCTCGAAAGACAATAATGCTTTATTGCACCCCTCGTAGCCGTGCCAGGGTCACTTTGGGGGTGCGCGGGTCCGGGGGGTGGATAGAACCAACCCCTTGTTCCGAGGGAATGCCTCGAGGCCAAATGAAAATTTTTCCATTGGATCTCGCAGTCTTTCACTCGGTCTGCCTGCCTGTCCTCCAGGTTAGGCTAGTTTTCCGATCGTCTATTTACCATGAAAATATTCGAGGAAACGTGCCTGTCCGCGTGGCAAATCCGCCCTTTCTCCTGCCCTTCTTTTTCCCTTCTACCCTTGCAAAGGGCTGGAAGGAAGAGACTAGACGCGGAAACATTGCGTATGGTAATTCGTGGGACGTCTCGCTCTGGCGGTACGGCGCAATATGGGGATGAAAGTGAAGAGCGGGTTGGATATCTCTGACACGTGTAATATTTCCAAGGACGCGCAGGGGAGCGAAGGGCTCGGAGGATCTTCGAACGGAAAGGACGAACCGAAGTCAAAGACGCGAGAAATAAAATTATGCTCAGGATCTTGAAGGATCATGTAGGTAAAAGCCATGATACAGTTACAGGATCATGCTCCGACCCCTGGTACAACCCTCGGGCACGGGTGATAAAACGGAAATTCAGATGCAGAAACCCCATCCGAATGGATCGCGGTACTCGATGGGGAATGAAAATCTGAAAAATTTCAAAGCTCATTGTTAATTGCCACGAGGCAAATCGTTGATTCGAATTCTTTCGCCCTGTATACGCCGAGGCTTATGGGTATTATCCTGTCGACGAGGGACCAGTGAGACGCTTTCAACGTCGCGAGCGATCGGCGAACTTACGAGGGGGACCTACCACTGAAATAAGATTTGGGTCAAAGGTCACCGTAGAAAACTCTAGGATCGCTTAAGCCTTACGACCCTGAGGGATGTGACTCTGTCTCGGCCGTTTCCCCTGGATCCTCAGCGAATTCGATACTCGTCCTGTCGAAGGGCAGATGCGATTGGCTCGCGTAAGCTCCGTCGTTCCAGACGCAGGCAGGACGAAGGACGAAGGACGCGAGCGTATCGCAGGAATAATCGAAGACACTTTGCTTTAACTTCCTCTTACCGGGATAGACGACGGAGGTTCGGCAAGCTCGAGTGCCCTCGAGAATTGGGCGAATCCGCCAAATCCACCAAATGGGTATCGTCCTATTTTCTTTTTTCTCTTGAATAAGAAAACACATTTCTCTGCGAGCATTATACCTATCCACAATGTGCGACAAGAGGCCAGATGCTTCGTTGGACACGTTTTCTTCCTTCCCGTCGCGCATGGAGGCAATTAAACCAATTCCTTAATGGGGATTGGAGGGGCGGCGGCGGGGC